CTGAAGTGTCTGATAGCTAGATAAATATCTCATCTTGCTCTTCATCATCACATTCTAGCAGAAGATCAGTGTAGTACTGTTTGATAGAGATTTGCAGTAGATTTCATCACTGCACTAATCTGTGATGTACAAGAAGTATGAAACAAATATCTTCTGACTAGCATGATCACTCTAAATGTCAAAGAGACCTTCAACAGAGTTCTTCAAGATCAGCTTCTAAAATGTTTACAGAAACAGAACTGACTAGCAGTTCTGATAAAGTGAATAGCATCTTTTCTTAATTAATAACTAGTTTTGATTTGACTAGACAGCATTCAATCAAAGATGTTTCAGATTTTTCTATAGTTTTTCACAGAGATTTTCTATCTTATCAATTCTCTTTCTGCTCTATGTAGAACCTCTTCTTCAACTTATCAAAGATCAGTTTGAGTATATAGATGATATTGCAATTCTGAAGACTGAAAGCTCTCTTGAGTGAGTAGAAAGTCAGCTTTAGAATTCTCTCCATCACATTTTGAAATGAGATATTAACAATGAAATCTTATTTAACTCAGTAAAGACAGAGTTTCAATACTTTTATAAAAAAATCAAGTACTCAGATCTCTTTATCTTCTTTAATGAATAGACAATTTCTCTCAATAACTACATCAGATAACTAGAGATTTTCTTTGATAGAAAGTTACTCTTCAGAGAACATATTCATCTTGTGTGCACTTCAGTCAGAATTGTTACAAAATATATTAAATCATTAAATGAAGTCTTATTTAAAAATCAAACATATTTACTCAGACAAACAACTTAAAACTATGCCTTCAGCACTCTGTTTTATGAAGCTGAGATCTGATTCTCAAAGTAAATCTTTCAGATAGTCATTGATAAGATTCAGATAGTCTTCAACAATACTGCTTGAGTCATTCTATTTGTCTTTGTTATAATGTCTATCTCTGTTCTTCTATGCAAATCAGACTGAGACTCAGTCAAAGTCTGACTAGAAAGAATATATGACTGACTAGCTATTTGCATAGCTGCAGTTGACTCATCACATTTTCTACATTAAAGATGATACATCTCATGTTTTAAATAAATTAAATGAAATATTAAAATGACAGTTATCACATCTGACTCTAAGTTCTTATCTTCTTGAGACAATTCTGACATATCAAATAAAGAGTAAAAGATACTAGAAATTGAGACTGTGAGACAAGTTGCAGAATCAACAACTTTTGAAAACTGACTTCAGAAAGCTGTATTCTCTCTTAATCTCATCACATACACTGATGACTTTAAAGACAGTCAAGAAGTTTCAGATGAAGACTACTGTTTATACTAAGAAACAAATCAATCTCTGAAGTTTGATAAGCTGTCTCTGATTTGCACTGCTGAGATCTTTGATGCTAAAGTGCTTGCAGCAGTTGTCAGTCTTGAGACAGTGCTACAAAATCCCTTCTCTATGTTCACATGACACATTATAGTGACTCTAGACAATAAAGAGACTGCAATAAGACTTCACACAAATACATTCATATGAACATCTTTTCACATCTTTACTAAGTTCAATAAACTCTGCAGATTCTGAACAAAACATAGCTCAGATTCAATTAGTTCAAGACAGATCTATGTTTGATGATGCTCTGACCACACTGACATTCTAGACAATGATATTGCAGATGCTGCAGCCAAGTCAGCCTGCACAATAAAATGCACTCATCACACTCTGATTCTGACATGAGTCAAATTTTATGCTAAAGAATGCTTCAATGCCTCACTGCAACAATACTGAAGCTTCAATAGCACATTATAATACAAGAGTCTTAATATCTCAATGTTAAAAAAATATCTCTCTGAGCTTACTTTTCTCTGAAGAAATCTATATCACTTGCTGGCAGCTAGAACAGATCACAGTGACTTTGCAATCTATCATCACAGATGAGTACATGACAACACACTTCTCATCTGCTCTTGTGACTGAGATAAGACCTCTGAGCACTTCTTCTTTTGCTGAAAAGACTAGAACATTGAATAAATTAAAACCTCTGAAGCATGTTAAGAATCAAAAAAAGCAATTGACTGACTTCTCAGCACAATAAGAGAAGCTATGATCTTCTCTATCTGATGCACTAATACTCACTTCTTCATTGACATTCAATGTCACTACTAGAATCTGTTCAACATCTGACTTCTCTCTCCCTCTTTTTCTTTTCTATATTCTTTATATATATTTCTCATCACCTCTACACACCACTCTAGAAGCCCTTGGCTTCCCCAGTCCTGTAACCTTCAGCTACTACACCATTCAGGACCTCCAGGACAGGGGCTACTCTGTACATAGACTTTCAAGAGGGCTTCAGCTGACTAGACATGTCAGACAGCAGACTAGCTGCTGTGCTGGCACATCTGATACCCTTAGGGAGGTGCTGTGGCTGGGACAGCAGACAATTCTTAGTCAGCTGATCACGTGCCTCCAGGCGTTAAATAAGTAATAATAATAATAATAATAATTTACTGTTTCTGGGGTTCGTCGTCTCCATAATGGCGTAACACAGGGTTCATGAATTGGAGTTATCGATTCTGTTATGTGAATGGTGAATTTAAAGTCATCTCGTGGCAATTTGTCTATTCGTTTTAAACACGTCGTCCACTGTTTCAAACACTGAATGCATGTCAAATTAGTTACCTAGTTACCTACTTCTGTGACGGAAAGGGTTGTTGAATGTTTTGATCATGGGGCGAAGAGTCTGCAGATACCATGTCAAACTCCCGAGCGAAAGAGGTGACCATTTAGTTACCACAGTGACGCTATTAGGCAAGTTTTGTGAAGAGGTAGCCTAAGAGGGGTTTCATATCAGAACCTTGAAAAGGAGCTTAGGGAGAGGTCTAACTACGGAGGAGTTACAAATCGGACCGGTGTTTAAATATCCGACCACAACCCTTTTCTTTTAACCCCTGAGATAGTTAATTCAACACCTTCGGAATTATTCAACGACCCCATCTTCAAGGCCCCTTTCAGGTTAGAGAATGAAAGCGCACATTACAGATTTGGGGTAACTCGACCACTCACTAAACTTGATGTGTACAACTGGTATCTTCACTCAATATTTCTTAAACGTTTGCCTCACCCACTCTTTTATCACTCAATTGAAATCAGGATCACTCCAGATACATCATGTTCTTTTGGTGGAGTGCACTCAAACAGAAACAGCCATGAAAGTTCGATGCTAAGAGGGACTGCAACCAACTTCTCTGCAATTCCCTTCTCATTTCCAACATGGGGGCTTCTCACCAACTCCGAAGACATAATCACTCTATCCACGAACCAGCTTCATGAAAAGTATGGAAGACCTGTATATACCCCGTCTATTCGAGCCCAACTCATGGGTATCCCAGACTCGACGAAACGGTGAGGTGTTCCACAACTGGGGAGAAATTGCCCTATCCCACCAGCCATTCGTTCGTGAATCGGCTGAAAAAACATGCGACTGCATTTTCTGATTGCAAGCCACTTCCCGGGGTTGGAAAAGCTTCTCTAGAACCTCAGCCGTGCACGGAGCGCGTACACTGGGAACAAATCAAGCTGGCTTTGGCATCCAGCACAAAGAGCCATAGATACGAAATGAAAACTTCAAGGTCGAAAATGAAACGATTGCTCAGCTTCTTCGAACCCGACATGACGGTTCTGGGTGATGATCCGCGAGTGCGACAGGGTCGAGGGAAGCCGGCGCCTGATATATATTTAGTCGCCTTTCAATCGTTGAATTCTTAAGGAATGTTCTGACAAAAAGCCTATTCTTCCCAATGAGCGTTGGTCCTCGAAGATAAGTGTGATCGGGATTGGATGAGGGTTTTTTGGGTTCCACATCCGGATGTAGCCGTCGAGTGTAAAACAAGGAAGAAGGATATGCTCACTGGAAGGACATTGATGATTAAGGTCGCAGACAACTGGCAGCTGGACCAACCCGATGACGGCTGGGTTGAGAGCATACCAAATTTGAACATTCCGATTACAAGAGGTACGCTATCGATGTGCCTTCTTCAGTTCCTTCATAGAAAGTTCCAATTTCCAAAAGTGTGTTAAACATTCACAAGAGAAAGGAATCATCATTGTGCTTTCAGCGGCAATGATCGTGGAACCTGGATTTGGACCGACCATCCTGGATCGCTCGTAGCTCATAGGTGGCAGCAGACTGGCAGCAGACTGGCACCGAGGATCAAATGCGACCAGTTAGCACGGTTCTGTGCATTTTCCCCGTGACCAAGCAAAGAAAAATTTGAAGCATCCAAAATCATCTGCTGATGTCTGTCATTGAAAGTTGCGCCTCGAACACCGTGCCTAATCTTTCACCATGCAACCATCAGCGCTTACGTTGGAGTTCCGCGAGGGGTCATTGCGCGTCACGCTCTTATCTGGTCCATAGAGGAGCAAAAGGCACACACCAATGCCATATATCTCATGTTTAAAAGTCCTTATTGTGTCTCCCAGGACTGGCCTCCAAAGCGTATTTAGGAGTAGCATGTCATAAGCTGCAAACCACGGTCCAGAGTACGAATTCTAGAAGAATAGTTTCTCCTTGCCATCCTATTATCAATTGATATATTTCCGTACATATCTGCCTTCAGTTCTCCTTGATAGTGGTGAATGTTGCTGACTTCAACTGCCTATCTGCCCCCTCAAGAGCAACGTCACATGACTTCTTTACCCTGAGTACGATGACATAAGCATCTCCGATCACATGTTTCAGCCACATTCAAAGCCCCGTTGTTGTTGAATTATCTTTACTCAAACATTTCAGCTACTAAAATAGTCGACAAGCCAACGCCCATCGCCAACAATATCCTTCACCTCTCTTCTCCTTCTGTTTGCAATTAGCTATGGCAATAATGAACTGATTTGCTGAACGTACCCTTTTCCGGGCTATCGTGTAGTATGTCCTTTGGCCATTAGCCGCCATTAATGAAGCTTTGATCTCTTTGAACTTATCGAATAAACGCCCACCCCCTCCACCATGTCGCATAAGAAACATCGTCCTGCCACTTCAGGCTATGAGCGGCTTGCTCAAGCCGATGAAGAAAGGTCCCATGTATTTTATGACTATTCTGATGAGGAGGACCCTTTCCGCGCACCTCCGCCTTTGTCGTCAGTTTCAGGCCCCCGATATACCCCTATTCACTCACATCCCCCGATGCATGCTTCACGACAGTCTTCGCCGGTGGGCTACCGGCATCGTTCAAGCAGGCCTCGAAGGCATGTGCGTAGCAATTCAGGAGTGGATATAAAGGCCATCAACATGCGACTTGAGAAGTGGGCGGAGGAAATTGCCTCCAAGTTTAAGATTAACAAGGTCAGAGGGAAGACTGCGGCAGAGGAAAAACTGGAGATACACCATTCCGTTTTCCAACCTCCCGATGGAATTCGTCCAGTTACCTCGGAATTCCTCGAAAACCACCCTTTAGAGGAGGGCCGGATGACTAAGGAGGAGTTTGACGCCGTTGTTGAGAGCGTTAGAACTGCAATCGAGCTGGGTATACAACCGAAAATGATATCACAAGGTAGCTCTGGTAGTTACTTTGCGAGAAACAGCCAAGGGAAGGTGGTGGGTGTCTTCAAGCCAAAAGATGAGGAACCCTATGCCTCACGAAACCCCAAGTGGACCAAATGGATACACAGGAACTTGTTTCCCTGCTTTTTTGGCCGTGCTTGTTTAATCCCGAATTTATCGTATGTTTCCGAAGCTGCCGCCTACGTCCTGGACACCCGCCTAAGGACCAATCTTGTTCCATACACTGACATAGTCTACCTGTCCTCCAAATCCTTTTACTACGACTTCTGGGACCGCCGTAGGGCATGGGGTAACAAGAAAAAATTGCCAGCCAAAGTAGGTAGCTTTCAAGTCTTCTTAAAGGGCTATAAGGACGCCAATATATTTCTACGTGAACATCCCTGGCCGGATCAACATTCCTCCGGTTTCTCTGCGGGTGATGCCCCGCGGAAGAAAAAGCGTCCCTGGAACGAGGCATGTCGACCGTCCGGTGCCCACTCCGATGGCGAAGACGAATACGACGACGGGAGGTACGTTCCGTCTCCCCTAGAAGAACTGCCCCATCCTCGTTTCTATTGGACCGAAAACCTCAAACAATCCTTCCGGGAGGAGCTTGAAAAACTAGTTATTTTAGATTACATCATGCGGAATACAGATCGCGGACTGGACAATTGGATGATAAAAGTCGACTGGCAGACCGAGGACGTTTCTATCGTCGCTGAACCTCCAAAAGCAAACGGAACCACAAACAGTACCGACGATGACGAACAGACTCCACCGCAGCTTATTTCTATAAGCTCAGAGCGTCTCGGTTCAGATTTCCACCCATATAGGCGCCAGGAAACCATGGTTGCTGTTAGCCGTTCGGGAACACCTTCCAATGCACCAGAGCACCCGCACGCCACCATATCTATCGGAGCCATCGATAACAGCTTATCGTGGCCGTGGAAGCATCCTGATGCTGTAAGTTCAATTTATCTCTCGTTATTGTGAATATGATCAAAGATGAATGCCTAACAATCCTGCTCAGTGGCGAAGTTTCCCTTTTGGATGGCTCTTCCTCCCTGTTTCCCTTATCGGCCAACCATTCTCAAAGAAAACACGCGATCATTTCTTACCACTTCTTACCTCCACCGCTTGGTGGAGCGGCACACAAACCGCTCTACGGCGGGTATTCAGCCAAGATTCCGACTTCAAGGAGAGCATGTTTGCGCGACAAATAGCGGTAATGAAAGGTCAAGCTTGGAATGTGGTTGAAACACTCAAACAACCAGACCATGGGCCCCTCGAGCTCACCCGCAGAACGAGAGTGTGTGTTTGGGATGATCTAGTTGATATCCCTGTCGCCATTCCACTTCATGTCCCTTCCGCTGAAATGCAGAGACGACAAGAGCTAGTTCGCGAGCAGGAGGAAATGGATATTAGCGTCGCAATATCGTCTGACAGCAGTACCCACCGCGATCTCCTAAATCTCAGCTCACCGACAAATGAACTGCCAAACCCCAATAGATTTGAATTGTCACGCGATAGAGTCTCTGTCGAATCCAGCAGCAGAGTAGAGGGTGCTGGCAGCCCAACTTCACTTGGTGATTTTGCCTACAGGAGCTTCGACGGTGCCGGTGAAGACGACAGGGATCTCGCAGCCAGCTGGGCTTCCGTTCCCGCCCGTTCGACGGGTGGTCGATCAGGGCCCAAATTATTCGTTGAGGCTAAACGGGTCCATAGGAAGAACCTGTCCCTGCCTCAGCGGCGGGGTAGCAATGCGATGATGTTCGGCGGCGATGATCTTGAAGGTGACCTTGGCTATGCGGCTGCAGAGGAGATGGAAGGCAACGAGCGCAAGGTCATCGTCGAGAGACTCGAAGCTGTTAAGAGCAAAAATCCTGTTTTTACATGGTGTTGAACATATAAACTAACCAGTCGCCAATACATTTTTTTTCTCCTTCTTGCTGGGACGGATCCTTGTTTTGTTTCATTTTTCACATCTTTGCTGGGCAAGCTTTCTTACTTTTGGCTCTCCCGCAACTTTTCCTCTATTCTCTCCATGACTGGTTTTTATTACATTGTTTCTCTTAATTCTTTCCTCCTCTATCTTCGCATTTCCCTTCGCATGTTGGTCAGCCAGATCAAGGATAAATAGTTGGTCCATAGCATGAGCGTATGGAGTTATATCAGCGCAATTGCCATATTCACGTTTAATTTATCTAATCTTTTTTTCCCCTCTCCCTTTCCAACTATGGATGCTCATCTTTGTCCGGTTGGCTGGAAGTAATATACAGTTCTCTACATCATGGCCTATATTGTTTATGCATTGGATTGAGGATCAAGCTTCCATTTTTCCTCGGTTAACGGTGCTTTCGAGGCGGGTTCGAATCGCGCAACTTAGATCACTCACGGTTGGGTTGACTTCTTGACTTCTTGACTTCTCTGCACTTGTATGACCAGATTCTTATATATATTTCTTATCGGTTATGGCTAGAATATGTATATGATGTTAATACTATTTCTAATACATACAATCATTTAAGGTGGTTGTCGGAATCTCAAATTCTTCGGCTAAATCCTCGAGAGCATATGATCGTTAACTTTGCTGAATCAGCAGCACGAGGTCACATGCCACTTATCTTATTTACCATTAGCGGTTGTTCCACCCACTCGATTCTCGCTGCGTATATAGTTCAACAGTCAACCTCGCGCGCCTGATTCCATACTCGCATCCTCCTATAGATTTGCCACCAGTGTCTTACTGGGTGAGCAGTATTTGAATGGATAGCCTTACTTCTCCTTTATCACCGCGGAACAGATTGAGCTGTTTCCTAAACATAACTTCGCGAGTGTCCTGGCGCACCTGAGGCGATTAACTACTTCACGGCTAGCTGCCTCGTCGATTCCTTCACAAATCTTACTTAATTTGACCCTTAAATTTCGACCCGCTCTGAGTGTACAGGCTATCCCTCGATATGAGACCGCTACACATGCAAGCTTGACGTCTTTCCCATTGTCAGTCGATACATTCATTCGACATTATTGTCTTAATCGTTTTGAGGAGAGCCCTTTATATATCTCGAGGAAAGAAAACGGTTTGAGTCATCATGGACACACCAGCGGCAGTTCTTCTGGATCCGAAGGCGTTCAAAAAACAGTCTATAAAGGGTAAGGTTAGGTTCCTGTGAGCTTTCATTTGCTCACTCGAATGTGTTGATCTTTGTTGCGGAGTCGCAATCATTCATAAATTTGCTTTTGTTCAACATCGATGTTATCATCCCTTCACTCTCACTTCATAAAACTAAATTTCCTTATTTATCCCACAACACTAATACTGTTTTTAATAGATTCTGGGCCTAGCTCTCCGCGACCTAAAGGAGCGCATTCGGGGAACGTCTTCGACCCCAGGACACTGTTGAGCCCTCGAGGCTTGGAACCGCGCAAATCAAAACCACCGGCTAGTGCGCCTATATCTCGAAACTCAAGTTCTCTTCAGCTTAGCATAAAGGATGCCAGCAATTCCGGTTCCTGCAGAAACGTGAGCGATGCCCAAAGAGAGAAAACCGAGTCAACCCGAGACCCCAAAGCGATTCGGTTTGAGCTTCATCAGAGAATGATAGAAGACATGTATGGAGTCGAAGAACGAGCAGCTCAACCGCAGAAACGGATAAAACGTGACCATGACCACGCTGCTAGTAGATCAGAGGGCAGGTTCGCTTCTGGTTCTGGAGGAGGACTGGGAGAGTACATGAAGGAATGTTCTGAGAATAGTACACCTTCACTTTCTGAGGTGGCTACAATAGACCTTACTTTAGGTACTGTCTTCAGAATATTCTATCATGCATATCTATATGTGTATGTGTGCTAACCCTTTTACTCAGACGACGGTCAGAATGAAGACGATGACGTTGTTTTCCTTGGCAATAAAGACCTGGGAATGGAGGAAGTTTGCTACGGCAGAATCGAAGGTGCTACTGTTCACGCACACAGAGTTCCTCGTCCAATGAAGTCCGTGTTTGGCGCCACATCATCCGACTGGCCTTCTATTCGATGTACGCTTCTGCGCACTCGTGGCACAGATACTCGGATTGAGGTCTCGGATTCTTCTCAAAGCGTATTCGGGATCATTGATAATCGCGTTTCTGCAGCTTTGGTGCCACTCCTCGACTCGACGATCACTAAGGTGCGAACTCAAGCTCGCTTGGACGTCCGCAAGAAGAAAGAAAACGAATGGCCTGGGCAGTCTTGTTCCGAAATATACCGTGTTACAATAAACATCTATGGGCCTAGGAAGATGGCAGATGCGATCGGGAGACATCTCGGGCAGAAAAATGTTTGGTTGGGAACTCCTAATTCCGTTGAAGCAGGTATTTCAACTTACAATCCCCATTCTGAGAGGCGTCTCGTACAAGCAGCTAGCACCACAAATCGTCTTGTTGTTCAATCAGAAACACGGACAGCGGAAGAAATTAACAGTGCTATCACGAAGATGTTTGATCGATTGACCAGTACGGGAGATATCCCGGAAATGGAACCACCTCCCATGATAAAAACACCATTACTTCCACATCAAAGACAGGCATTGTGGTATATGTTGCAGAAAGAAAAACCACGAAAGTTTGGTGAAAACGAAGCTGAAAATAATTCCTTATGGAGGATACAACATCAATCCAATGGGCAAAAGCTTTACAGGGAGATTATCAGTGGTGTTACTTCGTTCGAAGAACCGCCACAAGTGTACGGTGGCCTGCTAGCGGATGTGATGGGACTAGGTAAGACGTTAAGCATTTTATCTCTGGTGATGTCCACGAATCTCGAGTCACTGGAGTGGGAGATGCAGACCGTCGATAAAAGATTATTGAACAATCCTGTCACACGGAATGTGAAGACTACCCTTCTAGTTTGCCCCTTAAGTGCTGTTGGAAATTGGGTAAGCCAAATCGAGGAACATTTGGAAGCGGGTGCCCTTTCATACTATGTATTCCATGGCCCGACAAGAACGGAGGATCCCGCTGAATTGTCAAAGTACGACCTGGTCATCACTACCTACAGTACAATACTCAGCGAACTCTCTGGCAAAAACTCTAAAAGAGGAACAAGTCCACTCACTCGCATGAACATGTTCCGTATTGTTCTTGATGAAGCACACACTATTAGGGAACAAAGCGCTGGTCAAAGTCAGGCTATATTTGCTCTGGATGCCCAACGTCGCTGGTCGGTGACTGGAACGCCAATCCAGAATAGACTTGAGGACCTAGCATCTGTAACCAGGTTTCTACGGCTTCATCCGTATGTTGAAAAGGCTCAGTTTGCCGCTTACATCATTGCCCCCTTTAAAAGTGAAAACCCTAAGGCAATCCCAAACCTTCGTATGTTGGTTGACTCGTTCACCCTCCGTCGCATCAAGGATCGTATCAATCTGCCACCCCGTCATGACAAGATAATCACCTTAACCTTCTCAGAGCAAGAAAAGATGCTACATGAGTTTTTCAGGAAGGAGTCCAATGTCATGATGAATGCTATTGCTGGCGAGAGCAAAGAAAAGATGCGGGGGAAGATGTATCATTTAGTTCTGAAGGCGATGATGGTTCTGAGACAAGTCAGTGCTCATGGGAAGGAACTCCTCGATCAGCAAGATCGTGATAGGTTTAAAGGCTTAAGTGCAAATGACGCTATCGATTTAGAGAAGCCAGACGACGAGAAATCTTCAAGTGCCACAGAAAAGAAGGCATATGAAATGCTCGCCCTCATGAAAGAATCGGGCGCAGATGTGTGCGCAAAGTGCGGTAATAACATCACACTCCAATCTCCTGAAGAAAGCCCGACCGATAAAGATCCAGTTATTGCAGCCATGTTACCATGTTATGATCTTGTTTGTGCAGACTGCTTCCCGCCCATTCAACAAGTTTTTGGCGAAAGCGCTGGCAAACGATCTCAGCTTAGCTGTACATTCTGCAAGGAATTAATTTCCGTCACATATTCGGCCATTACACGCCAAGGCTTTGAGAAATTCCAAGCATATCAACTCTCCTCGCGGCAGAATCCCAAACAAGCCAAGAAATTTGGCCAGTATGAGGGACCACATACCAAAACGAAAGCACTCATTTCACACCTCCTCGATACCATCGAAGAAAGCAAGAAAAGCCCTGAAAAAGCTCCCATCAAAAGCATCGTCTTTTCCTCTTGGACATCGCATCTGGACCTAATCCAAATCGCCCTGGAAGACAACGGAATAACCAGTTTCACCCGGCTCGACGGAACTATGTCTCTGAAACAGCGCAATGCCGCCCTCGATGCATTCCGAGATGACGACAACGTCACTATCCTCCTAGCCACGCTCGGGGCCGGCGGCGTCGGCCTGAACCTGACCTCAGGATCTAGAGCCTATATCATGGAGCCGCAGTACAACCCGGCTGCGATTGCGCAGGCTGTGGACCGGGTGCATCGCTTGGGTCAGACGCGGGAGGTTACTACGATCCAATTCATCATGAAGGATAGCATTGAGGAGAAGATTGCGGAGTTGGCGAGGAAGAAGCAGCAGATGGCTGATATGAGTCTGAATCGGGGCAGGTTGGATAGGAGAGAGTTGCAACAGGAGAGGATGAAAGAGTATCGGAACCTGTTCACGTGAAATCCTTGCTCTTTCATAGATCCAGGATTCCTTGCTTCCTGTCAAACGTTCTTTTATATACTTTTTCTAGATGTATTACGGCCAACATCACACGAGGTCCAGCGAATAGGGGTCATATTGCAACCTTCTACACTTCCGCATTTCCACGTCTTATTTCCCAGCCTTTCCTGCGTAACATGGCATCCCACGCTTTTGAACATTACCTCTCTCACACGAAATACGATTTTCACATTATTCTCTTATCTACGGCGATATGTGGCGTACGTTGGCATCGACCTCCCAATTCCTTCTCTCGTTCGGATACGTCCTTGAAAATTAGCCTGGCATCGGTTGCTGATCGGGATTTAGTTCCTTTTCCCCTTCTCCCTAAAAAAAAAACTTTGCTGGTCGGTTGCTTCCGGTTTGAAGCATTTTGCATATCTTCTCCATATCTTTCCTCTCTCGGGTTCAAACTTAGGATCGGCATTATATTCTCACTTATGTTTTTATCTTCTTCCATTTATTTCTTATAGTCCAAAACCTTTAATTCTGGGGGATTATTTGCACGGAACAAACTTTTTTTTTCTTCTCTTTGGCGGGTTATGACGCTAGCTTTTCCAAATGGTGCTCACGGCTTTTTATTCCTTATATGGTTCTTGAATTTTTGATATCCGTGTGTGTTCTCCTGAATCTGTTTTCTCTTTCGTCTCTCAATTCATAACCGAATCCGACTGCTCTGTTTCCAAAAGGCGGAAATAAATCTTGAAGACATAGAAATTAGTTAGATATATCTGGGGAAAAGTAATATTTCTGATCTCTGGGCGCATAATATCGTGATGTGTAGCTACTCTAAAAACCATGATGAGGAGTTTCTCCACTGCTGGGTGAACCACATCACGTACTTCATGCAGCATTAAGAATGTGTAATTTTGGGGGTGATTTTAGGGTATCAATATGGAAAACGTCAGCTAACTAAAGGGTATATCAAGCAACATAAAGAGAACTATAGCATGGGAAAATAGCAGGAAATAGTAAAATATAACTCAAGAATCTGAAAACCAAGAAGACTCCACCCATTCAACTCCTCTAGTCACCGCAATCGCCCCATAAAATTACCCGACCCAAAACCGAGAGTAACAGCAAATCACAACCCCTCCCCCCAAAATCGCCTTCCGCAACCTTTCCCCATTTACCCCCTCCCTTCCACGGCACCTAATAACTCATCAACCATCTCCCCCAGCCTCCTCATCTCTCTCCTCTTCACCCTCCTTTCAGCCTCGACAACTCTCAACTCCTCTGCAAGCCGTCTAATCCGTTCTTCCTGCTCCGCCTCACTACTCCCCACCCCCGGCAACACGCTGATAAGGTACTCAATCTGTTGCTCCTTGATGATAAGATCGCGTGCTAGCTCGCGCTGACGCTGCGCGAAGACCTCGGCGGTGTCTGGGGTAGGTTCTGTGGGTGACTGCTGTTGTTGAGCTGCTTGTTCAGCAACAGGGGTGTTGGGTTGCTGTTGTGGTTGGGGAGTGGAGGCAGTTCCACCTGTTGTCGTTGTTGTCGTGGCGGTGGCGGCAGAGATGCCGGGAGGAGGATTTTTGGGGATCTTTTTCAGTTGTGGGATTGCGGTGGGGATATTGGAGGGGCGGATTGCGGCGGAGTGGTCATGATAGGTTGTTAGGTAGCAGAGGGTTGCGTAGAATTGGGTTGCGAGCTAGATACGGGTCGTTAGATTTGGATTTCTAGTCTTGCGTTCTTTCAATTCAGATGACGGGGCCATATGTACTTGATCTAGACATGTTTGTAGTTGTGTGAGGATGTCCGCCATCTCAGGGTAGCACAGCGGACGGCAGAGCGGAGATGAGTTGATGCGGTGTTGAGTGTTGCAGGTGTACCAAAGTAGGATGAATAATGGAATGAGGTTAATAGGAAATATACGTAGGAAATGTTACTGTTGTATACTAGTAGTGGGGTTGACGTTAAGATGTTGAAGTTCAGTTGAGGATTCTGTTCATTTCCAAGTCAACGACGTTGATCTGGCTTGGCGCAGTGCTGATCTTCTCCGCAAACACCCCAAAAAAAGGGTAAACATTAAAACAACAACCAATTTCAAGAGTTCCGTTGTCTTTCTTTATCCTCTCAGCGTGTTCACGATGATATGTTCCTGTTCCCTCTTGGTCCCCCGCATCCACCCTCAAAGTCCCCGCAGATTACTCTCTTCAGCTCTCCGCCCGCCAATCCCTCCCCCCTCCCCGACCTCTAACCACCATGACCTCCCTTCATTCCTCGACTACGCAGCCAGAACATCTCTCAACCCTAAAAGTACAACATACGTAGGTACACACTACGAGTACACCACCAGAGAAAGCCTACGCCGCTTCGCTCTCGATCTGACCCGCATAGGCGGCCGCCTAGACTCCGGTATAGATCTAGTGGGCACCTGGCATCTCCCCGACTCGGGTTTACATCCACTGCGCGTCATAGTGCAATGCAAAGCTCTGAAAAATAAACTCGGCCCAAACGTGATTCGGGAACTGGAGGGGGCGTTTTTAGGAGCCCCAGTGGGATGGCGTGGTCAGGGCATACTGGGCATGCTGGTTAGCTCGAGAGAGTCTACGAAGGGCCTGCGGAATGCGTTGTCGAAGAGTACGTATCCATTGGTATGGATTTTCGCGGAATTGGATGGTCATGTCAGGCAAGTTCTGTGGAATGAATGTGCGGAGGATGTGGGCTTGAGCGGGCTTGGGGTTGAGGTTAAGCATGTAGTTGAAGCGCAGGAGCATGGCGGGTTTGATAAGACAGTGTGTTTGACGTGGAACGGGGAGGAAATTAAGGGACTTGGTGGGAAGACTGAATGAGTTGATGGCTGGTTGACGAGATGATGTATCCGCAATCAATCTCCGTACTCAGACCGCGTACCCACGGCGAAGCATGGCTTTATCCGACCTCGATGGTTCACAGCGAAACGCTAGGGTTTTCTATCTATGAAAGTAGATAAACGATCTTATATTGAGGCATTCCCAAGTTCAGGATTGAACCAGTCGAATTTGGAATATTTAGGTGTTGATGGGCAAGGAAAACCAGAGGCCGCACCATGTGCCATGCGGTACATGGTCACTGGAAAAGATAAGCCAGATCGCGCGGTTGAGCGTCAGAGTCCAGGGGGACTGACCTCATTAACAGGAGATGAGGAAAGAGAAGAATAAAAGGCAGTAATTAAAACGATGCCTGGCGAACAAACCAGCCCTTTATCAGGACGTGTTCAGGGTGATCGAGTTTAACTGGATGCCTCATGAACACACACATGACAAATGCCTTCGAGGGCTCATCATGGACCGAGAAGCGGGAATGGTACGATTTCTATTCCGAGAGAAAGGGGGATTTGACAATTATTGCAGTAGAAGGCGCATATACAAGGCTCTGCATGCAGCACAGACTCTGCTGACAACCAGCACAAATCAGCATAGAAGCCTCAAAAGCATGAACCCTGCCGATATATATAGACATTTCTTTCAATAATTAACGGTTTGAGTTGCTAGCCAAGGTTGGCTCCCGAAGTCGAACAAAGCTTTCCCTCCGAACCACAATGCAATAGATCCAGCCAAGTCATAAAAACAACCCACGTCCATCCAACCATCCGCCATTATGCTAGTATAACCCCTCCATCCCCGTACTTTTTCAAAGTAAAAATCCCCATATCCAAACCCAGCATTAAAAACCGCACAATGTTAAATGCATACAAAGCCAGTGCAATAGTTTTCTCCATGGTCACGGTATGCCATACGGCAGGTCCATTTGTATCTTCATATTCCACACACCAAGTAACTACCCGATGGCATAATTTGATAAATCACTTTTCCCTCTTCCTAATGAACTTCACAGGGTCTAGCTTTCAGGGATATCATGGATGACTGATCCGCAGTTGAAAGCACTGCCGCGACGTGTTGGCGGATGTTCGAGAGCTGGATGGTATCAGGTAGTTCTGTAAGATGACGTTTATGGGCGATGTTGCATCCTTCTATCTAGTTCGTTTGTACGATCACCCGGGCTGTTTCACGCGTTGGGGATATCTCGCTTGCCTGAAATTAATACCCTCTCGATATAATTTCGAATTCACTAGTCCTAAGGGTCCCTGCTTTGCAAACCAGAATCGGCTGACAATGGCGTGTTCATATTTATACGGTAGCTTATTCTTCCTCACTCTCGTAAGTTCATTTATCATAGATGTTTGAAATGGAGTTACAATCATACACGCGTACATACTTGTCTCCTCCTGCACTCGCTTTCCAAAATAGCCCTCATCGATCTCATCAATAGCATTAGCCAATTACGGCTGGTCAAAAACCTCCCATGGCTCCCTCACTGACCCAATCGACATGGGTATAGCCGCCCTGACCTCCATCGTATGCTTTGGAAGCTCTGCGTGGTACAATATGAACAGCATCAAAGATATAGCCGGTGTCATCGCATTCGCTGGCGGATTTGCAAGCTTATGCCCCTTGTTTTTCGAAGGCATGAATGCAATCCGAGGAGAGTTTGTTTGGAGACTGTATGTTGGCCGGGGTAGGGAAGGATAAGGTGATTGATTGTTGTTCGTAGGTAAATTTCAGGTATTGTGATGAGGATGTTCGAATTTGGCACAAAGGGTGGCGCTATATATGGTATTGATTCATCCTTTTTATGTATGTAGCATCTTTAATTTGTTTATAATTCTAGTATGATCCAGACGGTATATGTGATACTCCAATGGATGAGTGGCAGACAAGGCGGGTGCATCGCCCGTCATCTGAGAAAAGTGAACAGATGCTAGAAGTCGCAGAGAGATTACAGAGCACCGATACTCGGATGCGTTGTGGAAGCCCAATGAATGCTAAAATTAATTTCCTGAACATGGTAAAGGAGCAGGGAGTCACATCTCATTCGTTCCAGCCAGGGACTGGCCAGCCATTTCTTCCTCCACCTTCCTCCGGCCAGCCGTTGGGCACCGTCGCAACTTTCGGTAGAATATACCTCTTCTCGCAGCTGGTAATGCGACTGCATGTCAAGTTGCACAAACCAAATGTCATGCAGTAGCACTGCGCTGCTGGTGGGCAATACACTGCTGGCATTTGCATAATGACTTCATAGGATAAATTAGTTTATATGCAGGGTGGATATATAAAAGGTGGAAGAAAAAGGAAAAAAAAGAAAACAACTCTGGAACTAGAAAGCCATGACATACTGTGCCACATATACTCCAGAATCCGTCCACTAATACGGTCCGGAAGAACCGTTTCCATGGCCCAGAGGCGTATGCGTTCATAGGTCAGTTTCGACCTCTTCCTTACTTGGTCGCGTGTCACTGCGAACTGAGACGAGCACGGTGCCCCGACAACCGACGGGACAGGGGTATTTGGTAGCATGGTTTCGAATGCGGATGCGTAGGCAGCTTCTGTGAGTCTGCGATCTTCGGGACCCTTCTCTATGGGATTTAATGGATACAATTCGTCCGGACACCCGGGAATCCATGCGCAGCGGAGCGGAGCGTAGCCAGCGCTGAACACATGGGGAAGGCGAAGAGATTGTATGATTGGGACAGCATCTTGGTAGTACGTTAGAAAATATCTCAGAAATGCACACTTATGCAAGGTATCAATGTCCTTGAAAGGAATGGAACTTGAGCTAGAGGAGTGAGTTGTTGAACATACCGTAAATCGGGTCATCGTTATGCCATTGATAACGTTCACCATGCATGAAAACCATGATATCTGGCAGTTTGTCATAGTGATCGATAATATATCTATTACCCTGGTGTCAGGAAGTTCAGTGGCACCCAACATGAAAATAAACGATATACTGACGTTAGATATACCATTGATTCTCTTGCTTTATTTACCGGAATGGTCAACGGTGTGTTCGCATCATCGACGATATAGATGCTGGGATGCCAATCTGACAAATGCTCTGTAATCCATGTCCTTTCGCCCCCCTTAAGGCTTGCAACAACTAGTTCCTTAGATTGAAGAGTTGCAAAGGCCTGTTTCCAAGATGAGGTTGTCCTGTTTGTTGAGCCTAGCAGAGGTATATCAAGACAAAGATATATGATTGAGATAAACAACAAGAATAGAGCTAGAAGCGTCCTTGAATGGGACTTCAAAACGAAAAGAAGAAAGTTCATTAAGATCAATTTATTATTAAATGGCAAGCAATGTAAACCATTCCTTTCCACCTGCAGATCTTTTATTTCGCTGTATTAATCTAGTCCAATGGATTCTCCAAAACAAAGGATCCCGTCGTTGCTACGGGGCATTTCCCCCAGCCAACTAACGGGGTTTGGGCATCACATGACTTGTGCATTTTGGAGCGAAACGTTCATGCAATAAACTAACTTGGTTAATCATAGAAGTTAGCGAGGAAGTTCCATCCTCATTATCATGAGGTATTCCGTCACGTATATGTCAACATTGGAAATTCAATAGCAATCTCACATGAACAGCGACAATGTTGCCTAGATGAAAGATCAAACTCACATGCCTCATGAACTGCTTCATGTTTGATTTGGTCGTGCCCAAAGCAACACAGTGCATAGAGAATGAGTATCACTCCACTGCATATTAGCCAGAAATAACCAGGATATCCCCATCCCTGTCCAGTCAGTGCATGCGTTTGTCCCCTTTAACAAACATACAGTATCTCAATTCGGGATAAAAAGGTCCATCGGGTTTGGCTGAAGGTGTAGTCTACGTTTGCCGCTGCTGTCGTCGAAGGTTAGCATTCAGAGGTATGTAGAGCCTCAGATAGGAGATGTTTAACAAAATCAGGATAAAAATGAGATGAGACTGAAATGGACGTTCGAAAGCGTGACTACTAGGCTCTGAATGAATGCGCAATGTATTGAATTGGGAGTCGACCTTATCATCTCAGTGTGTTCTGGTAAGCGCGATTCGGGATCAGGTCGGGTTTGGTTGGGGATGGGCTCTGTTTAGCATGAGTTCACTTCCGGTTTTTCAAAGCAGAAGTGTAAAAGTCAAAATTAAGGGCATGGGACTGGCAATGTGCATTACTTAATTTTATTTCACGGTACGCTGCATACAAAAATGCGAACATTATAATAAGGAACAATCATGGGGTTGCTGTTAAACCGCCACCAGCAGCATCAGCCAACCATTTTGAAAATATAAGAGCAAGAAAGGGAAGCAGGAAAATATTGAATTACGAGGGTATAGAAACACTGCGTGGTCAAAATTAAGGCTTGGGATAAAACAAAGTGAAAGGAAGGGGAGAAGGGGAAAAAAGGTCAAGGAGTTCCCCATCACCAAGAAAACATCTAGTCAGGAGGACAAGAAACACCAAACTTTATTTCCTCGTGGAGAATCGGCGAAAACTAAAATCGGAGGAAGTTGTTTTTATCAAGAGAGATTCTCCACCTCGAAAAATCACTTGCGCTGTGCTAGAAAAGCAAAGGAAAGATCAACGACCGCTATTGACTTGCAGTAGTCTGGAATAGAAGCGCAACAAGGTTTGCCGTAAAGTCATCACCATATCGATGGCATAATTTAATTGGGTGGGTTGATGGTAGCCGGGTCGAAAGCGGAGGTGGAGACGGATGACGTGAGACGTAATGGTCTATTTTAAGACTGAGGAGTGGAATATGATGGGAAACAAGTTGAAAGTCGAAAACGGTAACAATCGGAACTTTGGTTATGACTGTCCATTGATCTTTACATTTCAAAACATATCTGGCAAGTATCCTATCAAGACCAGACGAATCTCCATCATTTTTAATGCGAACCGTGACCAAACCAATTCCACAAAAATCCACCAGAGCCGGAGTGACCTGATCTCTCATTCCTAGGCGACCGAAGGAGTCCCTCGGGTTGGCTAGATCGTAAGCCGCCACTGCCACGATGCGTAGGTGAAGGCGGTTGTGTTCTGCTGGTACTTCTGCTTCCCGATCTTGTGGAGTGTGGGGAACTGTCTGGAATAACGTAGGGTTCCAACATACTTCCAATTCCACTGGCGGGGGAGCTGGTGCCAGAGCCTGACCGGGAACCAGGCTGTGATTGCTGCGGTCGTTGTTGCTCTGAGTCTTGAGGCGTGAGTCTTCGTCGGCAGTGCGGACAAGTATTGTGTTCATCCAACCAACGCGATATACAGTAAGTATGAAACCAGTGATCGCAGGGTAACTGCGTTATGATGCAATCCAGCTCCACATGTTCCATACAGATGGCGCAACTGGCTTTCCCATCATATCTATCAAGCTCTCCCTTCTCCTCCAGGAATTTCTTCAAAGTTGGAGTTCCAAGGAGCCCAAGCTGATGTGGGGTGGCAGGTTGATCTCTGTTTTCGTTAAATCCCCCGGTCCCCAGATCTATGCTTTCAAGGAGCGTCGACATAAACGATCGCATGATTGCCACCTCATCCGTCGGTCCAACGTTTTGTATCCGTCCACGCTCCCTTGTGAATTGCCCAAGTACACTGAGGATTGCACCCTTATTAGCTAAAACTTCAACCAACGCATCGTATATTCCAAGGTAGAGAAATTAACTCACTCTTCCAAATGTGCAAATGGATCGACATCCGTCTGCGGGTTGTTGGCGTCTCGTGGAGCCAAATTCCATCTAATCCTATATACGTTGTCTTCCCCGGTGATATCAAGACCTGTATTGACGGGGTCATCAGCAGTCATGGGAACTGGTGAATGTGAACTCCTAGTTCTAGGACTTCGTCTCTCCCGGTTAGGACGGTAGCTTGATAGGGCTTGGAGAAGAGCAGTAGTGTTACGAAGGATTGCAAAGGGGTCGCCAATGGGCATTTGATGTTCGGTTGGATTTCCCCGCACAGCACTCCCAGACGAGTTAAAAGTAGTTCGAGTAAACGTAAATCTCCCATCACCCGATCTGTAGCGATGATATGTCGTCTCGCCTGGCCCAAGAGCTGATGTATGATCAGGTCGATGGCGGTAGAAAGTACTGGCTTCTATGGCGGATGCGGGATCTGGTAGGGGGTCATTTGCTTCTAACTGGTAGTCATAATTTAGTTAGTAACCCTGCCATCGACTGCCTATTCTCCCAGATATGTAAATGGATGGATTGAACAGTATCAGAGATAGATACTCACAATTTCGACAAAATCGGACTCGCATATTGGACACTGTAGGGGCGTTCCTGCTTCCCGTGTCCATGTGCTCTCGCACATGTAGCAGTACAGCCTCTCAAAATTGGTGGTGTCAGCCATGGCTGAGGTTTAAGGGCTTCAGAGACTCTGGGGTAAAATATCACGTATTGGTCAGGTCCACTGTCGAAGTTGATACTTGGTGAAGATAAATCCTGATTTGCCGGGCGAAAGGGAGTGCGATCATAGATCGTCGGATGTTCGATTGCGGATGTGGCAAAGTCGACCAGATCGTGAGACGTATACCTTTGCTTTGGGGGTATGATGTGATATGCTGTTAAGAAACCGACTACGTATATGTATTATCCGGTAGATGTCATTCAAAGGCCAAAGATGCGTTTAGATGGAGTGAAATAAGCGATGGAAGAAACTTGCACGGCGGAGTATTTAGGTTTCGTTGCAGCAGGTTGGTTAGTTACCATAAGGAAGACAAAGTATAAAGGATCAAACGGGATCAAACACAAGGAGCAACACTGAATCGTTGAAGTGATGAAAGTTGGAAGCAAATGCTGGAGAGTCCGTCCTGACAACTGTTGGTCCGGGCGGGCGGAGTTCATGCAGAAGATGAACCCAAGACGAAGTTGAAGGTTGACGGTTTGAAGATGACGATGGTTGCTGGCGATGACGTTGTTCTAGCCCCGGTTCTGAATTTGGCTTGGTTGCTTAGTGATCCTTGCCTGCTGAAACCCAATCAACGGGGTTTTCACCTCAGTAAACTGAACCCCTCATAACCTCAATTCATAGTTCGTACCTCATACCACGGCTTCAAAAGGACAAAGAGGATTGCTGAGATGATCTTTACCTTTGATCCGCCACCGATGGAGGAAATGGTTTTACGCAGTCTAACTTAAAACCAAGTTGTTTTATTCCTTCCTAGTTTTTCTTCCAAACATTTTTCATTTTACGATAAAGCTAAATAAATGAAAACTCGCCGCCACAGAGAGTTGTACTTTTCGCATTCCGCAGCAAATATTTGGCATCTCCAAGCATCAAAGCCAGGGAAATGAGCGTACCATGGGGCCCCATGTTGTGCCAATAAGGTGGTCCATCCTCTTGCCCCTCCGGCTGCCTACCCGGTATGCTTTCATCCATCTTTTCACGGGATTCCGCCGTTTCCCCTGGGCAAACGGCTAGTTCTGACTTTAAGCAAGGTTGGTATCCTAAGGACCCGCTAGGTATGTTCGTGAATCTTATGGGGGAGGGAAATAAGAGACACACCTGTTTCAAGTGTGTTCTTCTAAACCCTGCCTACCAACCTCGCTGCTGACGGAATCCCTGTTCCCGTTAGCTGCCAGGATGAGGAACAGGTACCCAAACCAAGTACCGTCATAAACAACAAACGCTATGCTAATATTACTATATGTATCCTGTATATGTAAATATGTGATTCGAATCAAGTAGAGATGTTTATAAAAATAAAATAAAAACTCGGAGTCATTAGATAAAGGACGTTGCTCAGGTGGAAAAAAAAGGGGGGGAGGGAAAGAATCAAGCAATGGATCGGCAGCTAGCGGCAATCATCAAGAATTCCCATCCCATCAAGGCTACAGAACCACCACCCCTTTCATCTAAAACGCTTCCCAAATGCTAACGCCCATTGTTCTCCATGCTATCTGGGATATCATATCGGCGAATAAGCCGTCCCGTGCTCCGCGACCCAACGCACATAACGGAAGATAAAACTGGCATATAATCCCAAATTTCCCTTCCAGCTTTACCAGTTTCCTGCTCCTCTTCCCTGTTCTTGCCCTGTTCGACTCCCGCCTCACCGCCTCTTCGCCCCCTTCATAATTAATCCCCCCACCACACCAGCAGCAAGCGCCACACCACCCAAGATCGCAACCCCAACCAACCCCTCCTTCGCAACCTTATCGTCTATCAAAGTCCTTAAACTAGCAGCCTGCAAATTCCCAGGCTCGTGGTCGAGTAGGAGATCGTTATATCTGCGCGCCTCGCCGTAGTTCCCTAGCTTGTAGTTGCCCAGTGCGAGGTAGTAAAGACATTCGCGACGTCGTTCGCGGGCGGTTTTAAAGATTTCGGAGAGGAGGCGGACGCCTTCTTGTTGTTCGTGGCGGACGTTGGATTTTATGAGGCCCTGGAAGAAGGGAAACGGCACGCGATGGTTAGTTATGATGTGTCTGATGAATATGGAGAGGAGTTTCTTGGGTGGCTGAAGGGCGCAATGGGGACTAGAACTGGGGGGGAGCGCTGGGTGTTTGGGAAAGGGATGTAAGTACCCAAGCATAATTGAATTTTGTTTGTACGCCAACATATTCTCCTTCTTTCTCGTACTGGGCTCGGAGGACTTGCAGCTCTGCAGGTTTTAGCGGACTATTAGGTTAGAAGTTATACTCGTCAGCTTTCTTTCTTTCATTTCGTTCCCTCCGAATAGACAGATGATTCTGATGGGACTCTGTAAAAGGTCTCCTGAAAAATGCCATATCCAGAATAGGCTAGAATATACAAACTGACCTTTCAGCATCCGCCGCATCTGGATGGATAAAGATATTAGCAAGCACGTAACGGTCAGCAAGAGGGATGAGGGGGGAACATACATGGAAGATTTGAACCCATAGATATATATATAGAATGATCCCGATATCCTGTTGGCTGTCAGAGCGCCTTTACAATGGACTTGGATATTAACGAGAACAGAGTGCCCGTTGTGATGGTCTTACCGTGTCTGCACTTGTATCTGCTCGATAATAGTAAAATAATGTCTTCTATATCCAAAAGAATCCGGCAACCTGATTTCCGTGGCGCGTTTGCGTCAGCGGAAACAAGCGCCAAGAGGTGTGGCGTCCAACTCCGAGGTTACTGCCGCAACGGGCCAAACGTCAACAAACGCAAGCCAAACCTCTGACCCATCATCATCATCAGCGTTTCTTTACTTCAACAGCAGCTATGGTAGATTTCAACGGAATTCACCAGAAAACCAAAACATACCCTTAAGCTTGAAACTACGATATGCACAAATTCTATCAGAATGCTGCTTGAAGAAGATCCCGCAACAGTTCGTCTTCCCTTCCCTTCCCTTCCCTTCCCCAAATGTAAACTCCCGCTGATGGTCCCCACCAGCTCATCCAACACACAATCGGCAACTTCAACATCCAACCCGACAAACTCGCCCTAACCCGCATAAACGACTCCCTCTCCTCCCTCCAACAAGCCCGCGACCTACGCACACGCGAAGCAGAAATCTCACTCCGCAAACTCGCCCGCAACCTCAACACCTTAAACGCACAACACGCCGAAAATGTCGCCTCGCACGATCCCGCGCGCCATGCTGCGTCCATCGTAGAGCTGGATACAAAGAAGTTCCGCATTGCGAAGGCGGCATCTGAATTGGAGATTGAGAGTGAGCGGTTGGAGGGGGAGTTGGAGATGTTGAAGGCGAGGTTGGCGGAGTTGGATGAGCAGGGGTTGGAGGGAGATGAGTTGGCGAGAAGGGAGAGGGAGTTGGATGATTCGACTATGTATGTCTTTCTATATATCCTTTTTTCTTTTTCTTTTTCTTTTTCTTTTTCTTTTTCTTTTTCTTTTCTTTTTTTTCAGGGCTTCTTCTGGTTTTGTCTGCTGTATAAACTTCTAGCAAAGACTGACAAAATGCTTGCGCCCGTCCACACATCATCTATATTTTACAGTCTGCGTCTCAAAATCTACCGTTCACTCGGTATCGACGTCGAAGCTGATGAGTCGGGCAACTATAACAAAGCCATCATACGGAATAGTCGCAAGGGGGACGTACACGTTGTCAATATCGATCCCAAATTCTCGCGGTTTTTCTACGCCAACTACTTCTGGCAAACAATGCAGGGGTGATATAAACACTTTTCTTTCTATATTATGTTCTCGAGATGATTTTACGATGGTTCCTAGACTTTTCTTTTCCCCCATCGTTGTTCTACTTATTCCGTGTTTCAGCTGAACTGGGTGTTTGATGATTTTTGACCATTGGAAGGTGGAATGGAATGGTGTTCGGTGTATATATATTTCTTTCTTGGAAACGGATGGCAAATGAGAGGTTATTCATTCCTCAACACTGGTTATCCATTTGGCTAGAGATGAATGCTTATGATGCACTTTAATTCATTTTAAAAATGAATTGTTTTTATTTTACTTTGACTGCTGATGTGACATATTCTGTAGGCTAGAATATACTTTTGATTGAGAGCATCATATAAAAATATTATTTCAATGCTTTTTATTTTGATATTATATAGTTAATCTACATTCTGAACTCAATAGATATACATTACAAGCGTAGTTACTCAGTAATTAGTAGCTGCAAGATTATGTACATTTCATGCAAAATAAATATTCGCTGAAAATTTATTGACACTTAGCGAGTTCAAAATATTCAAAAATTGCATAATTTAAAAATATATATTTTATTATGTATTAAAATTAATAATATTATAAAAGATATCTAAATATATTAAAATTAAAAATTAAAAAAGTAAATATTAAATTAAAAATTAAAATTTTTGATAAAAAAATATAAAGATTAGAAATATAACTTTATATAGTTATTATTATTAATTTATTTTACTATTTATTTATATATATAATATAGTTCAGTAAATACTAGATAAAATAAAATTGATTAATCTTTTTATTATTAATTATAATAAAAACAACAACTATTACTAATTTAACATGATAAAAGTTATAATTTATTGAAAAAGTTGCTTTCTATAGTATGAATAAAACTTTCTTCAAAACTCTTATTCTATAAAGCACAGCATTGTAACTAAGTCGTTGTTACTTCTGAGTGAGATTTAAACATGAAGCTTGATGTTTTTGCAGGAAACTTTCTTCACAATAAGACCCTTGCTATTGATTGCAAGGTATAAATATGAAATATAGACTGAGCAGGCAAATCCAAAACTCAAATAAATCCTTTAAAAGCTATTCCTCCTTGTTGTGCTTGTTGTCCCACTTCTAAACATCATCGACTCCAGATGTTCATCAACGCCTTTCAGATCCCCTTTCCTCTGTTGCTGTTGCCGTATTCTTAACTGCGGCGAAATTCCAAACTTCCAGTGATCAGGAGTCATCGCTTTCTCTTCATCTTGATGAGAGAACCTCCCCTTATCCTCAGGCCCCCGGCGTACTTTTAAATAATGATTGAGTGTCTGGGAGAAAACGACGAGCGCAACACTGACCCACGGAATCCATTGCCCGATTTCCTTGGGTTGTTCGTTGCTCGGAAGGTCTTTGATCCGAAATTCACTCATGACAACATTAACAATAAAAGCGGAAAAATGGGCAACGGCGAAGTAGAAAGGGGCATTTCTACAGAATGGAGCCCAGCGAGATGATGGCTTCGGAGGTTGAGGACCCTTTGGTGACCAAGATGACGCGGATGTTGATGCTGCTGATGATTCCCGTGCTGACGGCGAAGAAATCGCTTGTATCGACACATTCAGATCTTTCGGCTTGCCGGAATTCTGCCGATTTTGAACAAAAGTTCCAATCCGACGCATTCCGACTACTTCCGTTGCTGACATTGCCGGGGCTAGCTGTGGGTCTATAGGTTTATTCCGTAACACCGTACGAAGTATTATCTCCAAAACAATCCAAGTGAAAACGTAAATAAGTGTTGCTGGAAGGAAAACTGAGGTGATATCCCTTGGGCGATTAGTGTGGTTAGGAAAAGCAATAACGTCATTATTGGGGCGGAAAAGCCGTCTTTCGGGAGGACATGTGTAAAGACAGTCCCCAGTAGGGCTAGGAAATAGAGAGCCATTGAATGAAATGGTTTCATTTCGCGCAAGGCATTCCGGTGTTATGAAACCAGCTCCATTTACGTGTATGCACGATGCCGTAAAGAGTGCACCGAACATCAACAGAATCCCCCATAGTATCACGATCAATCGTTTTCTTTTATCTGCACACATCAGTGTGGACGACCAAGTCAAGATAGGGGCGGCGAGCATTGCACCCGAAGAGGTTATCGCAAATACTCCGTAGACATCCAGGTCTATGGATTTTCGGGCGGGACTGACCATCAGCATGCCGTGTATGGCCGCCGCTCCACTGTATGACATTGTACTGGCGAGAGCACCCAACACCAACCATTTCTGACGACGGGCAATTATGACAAATATCAAAAGGGTGTAAAAGAGAAGCCGTTGGAGGAGGTTATACGGCCCGCTCAAGGGGAAAACACAAATGACGTCCGGCCCATGTCCACCGTAGAAATTGAGATCATCGTTTGCCAATACACATGTGCTCCAGAAAATGGCGAGAAAGAACACACGGACTGGAATGCTGGGCGCCTTGTCAGGGAACATGCTGGATGTTTTGTATTCCGCTGAAGCAAAGAATGCAGCTGTCAAAGAAAACTTCGCAGTTACCGTTTCAGAGAGGTGGGAGGAGCTTATAAGAGCGCGCTCAGCTGTTATCTTTCAGGCTGTGCTTCTATGAGAAATTGTCCGTAGCATCATCATCTTCATCATTAATATTATTTGGAGAAAGACAAGATTCGATCCGTTCAGCGTAGAGAAAAGAAGCTTTCCATGAAAGCTCGCCATCCTCGGATAATAAAGGTCTCTCGAAGAGACAAGCTGGTGATCATCAAACACAGGTTTGCATGTCCTTGCCGCCAAGGACATGCGTGGTGGGATAACTAAAACATCACATTGGCCCACGATGGAGGTGGCTGCGGCTGAGCCAAAGTAGCCGTTTTCTCTTCGTATTCCATCCAATCTCGACAGCAAAGTGAATGAACGGAATCACGATTCACAATCCCGCAACAAGTTCCACCGGAAAGCAGCATGGCGGAGTTGGTCATGCTGTGCCATCTTTTGGATGCCCGTGTTCAAACATTGAACATTGGAAGAATAAGGAGACGGAGTGGTTAACTTTGCACTTTTACCAATTGGAGACCTGGTTGTCATGTAACTAACTGCCTCAGCAGCTGCTAACAAGTTCATAGCTATATCTTGATCAGAGGACGAGTACAGGTGCGTTCATGAGTGAATTCCGTATATTTCATCATGGCTTGTCAGAATTCATTCATAACCTGGGGATACCCCGCATTCTCAGCAATGAAACAATCAAGACTGTCCCACCTCGTGTTTGAATTGGCCTACGGAGATTTGACCCGTTGTTTAAACTCTGTAGTATTGAGGGGTTTCTCTTTGACATGTCCTCTCAGCCTTGAGCCGCCTTAAATAAGGCAGTGCCCACAGCGGTGTTGTCGTACTAGGCCCATATCCATTGACAATGAAAGCGCACAGATCCCAGTCACCAACTGCAGGAGAAAACTATGATCAAACAATCGTTCTTTAATTACCAGCTGGAATATCTGCCGGTTAGTTATTCAGAAATCATCTCATGCGTGGATGCGCTCCATAAGTTGGCCTTGGCCCTGGCACGGATTTTAACAGTTGTCCTGAGTGGTTCGAGATGCTGCAGTAACTCCGCTGTCTGAGGATTTTCCCATGGGCTTAAAGGTTAACTACTCATCAAGAAACCCTAAGGTAAATTCCGAACATCAATTATCGGTATGGCGTTCCTTGATGCCCTGGTCCTAAGGTCATCCATATCGATATTATTTCAGACGCTATATGTCCCTGGGGGAGGTTTCCTCCCAAACCCGGCACTGTCCCAGTGGGCCTAAAGCTGATACATTCCCGCCCAAAAAAAAGTGCTTCATTGGATACCGCGACCTCCAACAGGTTATCTATTTCGTTCTATCAGAAGACCTACCCAGGCGGTTCCAAAGATGAATTTCAATTCGCATGGAAGCCATATTTCATAGACCAAGATCCTCCGAAACGAAGCATATTGGTGCAAGGTACGGTTCGAATCCACGCGCTTTCAAATTTCGTGGAAACTTCCAAACCCAATTCCCCCACCATTCCAATTTGATCACTGGGATTCTTTAAAACAACACTCACACTCTATACATATGGGAGGGAAGTAAACAGATCGCATGCTCGGCAAAATGGTACCCAAAATGGTACAAGCAGCTCAAACACGCCTAAAGCGAGTTGGTGCGGCCCGGGGTATCAATTTCAAGTTCAGAGTGTACATGGGTAGCTCAAGGTTTGCGCATGCACTCTTGCACATTACGGGGGAGGAGAAGGGCAGGGGGGGATGTCAGATACAGAGTAAACTTTCCGAAGTGCTGCTCCAGTGTTAATTTGAGAGAGAGGAGGATATTAGTTGTCTTGATACGCTTGAACGGGCAGGGGTGGAGGCGGGGTTTGGGGGAGGAGGGGGTTAGGGGTTGGTTGGTGAAGGCGGTCCGAGAAATGAGGTGCTGTATAGGATTGAGGAGCAGCAAAGGCAGATTAGAGACGATATCCAAGGGGTACCACATTATGTTATGGGTGGCAAGCATCATATTTAAGGGGCGGTGGATGTTACGGAGTTTATTTGGGAAAGTGGTGATTAGGGAAGGGAGTTCAGGAGTTTGATTCGCTCTCAGTAATGGCAGAATGCGATATGCGCGTGTATCAAAAATAGTTCCCATTATACATTGCAAGGTTTGGTTGGTTTTGTAAGACGATCGGGGAGTCTGTTTAGAGAGCATTAGATTTCCAGAAACTAAAAATGATGCTTCTAATATATATTAGTGATGATTGTGTTGGAAGAGAGACAAGGCTGCCACCAAGAATACTAGTGAAATATCACTTTCTGGTTCCGTTCAACTGAACCGCATTTATGTTCTTCGATATATCCGAAATTCCTAGTTCAGAATACGCCTCACCCTTACCCGCCCTTCCCGCCAGATCCTTTAAAACACCCGCAAACCACTTAAAATCGTCCAGCTCTAGATAAACTTGCGCACTCAGCCGTGCCCACATCCATCCCCCATGCGGGAACGTTGGCACCGCAGTGTTGTGTTCAAACATGAGTTTCTCTTGTATCCATTTGCCAACAGCCATTGCATTTCTACCGTCGATGACAGGATACGGTGATTCCTTCTCAACATGTCTGCCACTGCCATCATCAACAGCAAGGGGTAAACGAACGTTTGCGAAAGCACATTGCCGGAGCTTACTGGCATCTGCCACCTTGGGGTCAACGCCAGGCTCGCTCATCACATCTGTGCCGAGTATTTGGGCCACGAGATTTCCCCCCTCGTGTGCCAATTGCAGGCAATACTCCATGATCTTTTCCTCACCACCGCAGACCTGCTCGCGGAACTTGATAGCTGCGGGAATGCAGTAGTACGGGGAATCGTCATTCGTAGCGACAAAGTCAAACTGGAATTCGAAAGCTGATTTCAAGGCAGGTCTAGGAATCGGGAGGCCAATCTCCATAATTTTTGGTTCGAAGCCGTGCGAAGTGGGCATCGTTGTGCGAATTAGGGGTTGGTTGCGAGCAGGGACGTGGAAAACTGCGCAGCCACGGGGCACGAAAAGCCATCTGGGAGACAGTGTCAATTGGGAGCCCTAGCATATGGTATTGTGGTAATAAGGCCTATGGGTTTTTTATGTTTCCCCAGAGAAACCATCTTACGAAAGAGATATAAGAAAGAGGAAAGCATACTTGTGGCAGTTGCTCACGAAAAAATCAGCATCCAACTTTCCCAAATCAAGCGGAATATGACCAATTCCATGCGCACCGTCTACACAGCTCAAAATACCTTCTTTCCTGCACTCCTCCACAAGTTGCTCAAATGGGAACCGAACGCCAGGGTTGCTAACGATGATATCAAATAGCGCCACTCGAACATTCAACCCTTCCTCCTTCGCCTTCTTAACCACCTCAACAAACCCCTTCACGATTTCCTCGTGGGTGGTTGGGAAAGAGTAGGGAACCTTTCGAGCTTGGACTGGCGTCGTTTCCATCAACGAAGCGATGAGTTTCTCGCACGCGGCATACACAGTGCTAAAGTAAATAATGACGTCTCCTGGTGCGTAGACAAAGTTTCTAAGCACCGTGTTCACGCCCGTTGTGGCATTTTTGGTAAAGACAACTTCGTTCACAGGAACTTTAAGCAACCTTGCCAACTCCTTTCTAGAAGTGTCGACATATTCGGACTGCAGATAGCGGATGAACAGATCCGGTTTTGATTCGAGCTCATCTTGAAATTTCCGGGCCTCCGCTTGGACAGCACGGGGGAAAGCTCCATATGATCCTTTGGATGGTTGTTAGCAGAGCCAATTGCTAGCAGCAAGATTTCAACGGCGTTAAATATGATAATAGGGGCTAATGAGCGCATGTAATCAACACTTTCGAAATTCCATTTTCAGCAACGGAATAAATAAAAAAGAATAACTGCGGAAACCTGAGGTGGTAGATTTACCGTGGTTCAAATTCCTATATTTGGGATCGAAAAGGAAATGTTTGGCCATTGAATGCCCAAATGGGGTCTGTTCTAGTGCTTCGACGAATCCCATGTTGAAATATTATGCTTCTGCAAACATATATCTATATATCTATATATCTATACGCTGCAGGCATATGAAGGTGAGATTCTTAACACCTTCAATTGTTGCTGCTGTGATTGTTCAGAAACATCAGTTAGTTTCATGCCACTCAATTTCTCCATGAAGTCAGTCACCTAGCTGTAGTTAAATCCTAAGTAACTATATAGTTATGTTAACAAATTCACACTGAGTGTCTTCCACTTCTCTCAGATAAATAGACAAAAAAAGACTTATTGATAAGAAAGAAAAATGTTCCTTTGAACTTCCCTCCCTGTTGGCAGGAATCAATTGACGTATAACCCGTAAATTGCACCGTGCAACAGTCGATGTAGCAGCGCGGCAATCCAAGAAATATCTCTCTCATGTGACTCAACGTGCTCTCTGGACTCTACTACGGGATCCTTCGGATGAAAGGCTTACTAATCGTGCCGCGGCGCAACCCACACCTCAAGTGGGTGCTACCACACCAAAATGATAAAAACACCAAAATGATAAAAATCTTGCAATTTCATCATCTTCATCATCTTCATATAACTCACCACAATGTCAAATAAGGATAAAAATATTGAAGACTGTATTCAAAAAGCTGTCACTTATCATCAAAAAAACTCAAATTTTAAAATACTGTCTCTGTCATGAGAATTTGAGGTTTCTTATCAACATTTCTAAACATATATCAATGGAAGAAATCTAAATACTGCAAAAATTCCAGTTAACAAGAGATTAAATGAGAGTTAGAAGAATGTGATTAAACAATGAGTCAAACTGTTTGATGAAAAGAATTGTCCTCTCACAGCTGAACACATTGAAGATTTTACAAATTTAATACTTAGATGTTCATATATAGATTCTACTATCTCTTCTTCAAAAATTTAGCAAGATGTGAATTTATAGATTCATTGAATGTCTATCTGAGTATAAGAGAGTGAAACAGAAGTCAATGAATTCAAAGAAAGTAGCAGTTGAAGATATTGAATATATCTGATACGTATGAGCAATTGAATAGATAGGATAAATCATGTCTAATTCTCTTCTAATAAGATGAGCGAATGCCCTGCTATATATACACACTATAATTGCTCTATATGGTAGGAGTGATCGCATAGGATAGGAAATATAGAAAAGATTGAGGCCCCTGAGTGGATTAGAGAGGGGCGAATAGAGAGTGGATACTAATATAGAAAGGGGCGGAACGCCAGGGGTGGAACGCCAGGGGCGGAACGCCACAGGTAATAATAGAGGCGGAACGCCACAATATCAATACATGATTTAAATATCTTCAGATTATATTTAAGCAGTATCAATTTCACATCTGTGACATATACAACTTCAATGAGATTGAATTTCAAAAAGAACAAAAACATGAAGAATGAGTTATAACCACTTTTAAAGAAGTTAATTTCATTATTTCTTCATTCTTTTCAAGAGATTTGATTATAGTTATTAAATATATATTCATAAATAATTATGTTATTCTGCTATTAATAATTTTGATCTTCAAAATATACTTGAAGAATTGATATATGCAGACAGATTTACCTAGCAATTATAGAATTGCTATATCAGATACTAAATTTACAAATAATGAAATTGAATTTGAATGACTTAAACATTTTAATACTGCTACAGAAAAGAGACAAAAGAAAAGTCATCAATTACTTTTAATAAATAATCATAAATTTCATATTACTGAGAAGTTCATATAATATATGAATCTTTATAAAATAATTCTATATGAATTTTCATTATATATCACTTATTTGGTATAATCTCTGAATAATTTATCATTTTAACAATATAAGTATTATCATTTAAAAGCAATTAACTATGCTGCATGTCATGGTTTTGTTAAGTATGAAAAAAGAATAGTTTCTACAAGATCTCTTAGCTATGTGAAAGCAGATCTTTAAATCTGATATAATAGCTATAGAATGAGCTTAACATGATATATATTCATGAAATTCTGACTGAGTTCTTAATACTCTTAAGCAGTAAATCTTATCCTCTTCTTCACTACAGATTTATGAAGATGAGAATGATTCAAATCATATATCTATCTTTCTTTCTCAGTTATTTTTATTAAAGATAATTCAAAAGCTGAAACATCATATTAATATTATGGAAAACATCATATAAAGTATTAGAAATACTTTTGATCTGAAATCACTCACTTTGACATGTTGTTTGAATAAGATATTCAAAGTAAGTCTAATTCATATGAAATTTAATAAGCAACAGATCATTGAATTAAAGAACTTTCTCAACATCAGTAAATACTGAAGAGCTAAAACAACTCATCATCAGATTTAAGTAGAAGGAGTTCTCACTATTAAAGATGTCAATAGAGAAATCAAGCAGCATAAGAATAATGAAGCTGAAAAAGAGCAGAATAAGAAATGATGAAGACTTGAAGTTAATCTCATGAAAATTGACAATAACTCACTCATATCACTGACAGAAGAGGAATTAAATCAATTTAGAAATGACATACATACTGAGAATGATGTAGATAATCTTTTTTATTATAGATTAGCTACTGGTTGTTGATATAGAGTGCAATAATGAGAATGTGATTCAAGATTTTTATCATTTTGGTGTTTTTATCATTTTGGTGTGGTGCACCCACATGAGGTGTGGGTTGTGCAGCGGCACGATTAGACTTATACTATTAATTAGTTACGTGCTGTGGGGCGCCGGGGAACGCTGTGCCCAACAATATAAGGGGATCAATTTATTAAGTTGTCTTCATCGACTCTAACGAAGTTAATCCTCAAGCGAACCGAAGATCGATCAAACTATCATCAATTTTCTAACCCATTCATCTCAACATTCAATTACTTCATTAATTCCCCACCATCCACTCTTCCTCTGTTCTCGCGTAGATTCATACGAATGTTAGATTCACTTATTGTCATTGATGATGATAATTGAGCGTCACGGTCACGGGATCTGGCCAAGGCACCGCTGCCCTTCTACACCTTATGATAGGAATGATATTCATACTTCCCAGCCTTTCTACGAGATGATTATGAGAATTACGCTACTGACTCCCTTACCCCCCCTTAATCGGTTATGGCGGCATCTCATCACATTCCCGGAAGAGAGGAAGTCTGATAGGAGCCCTATATAGATAGCTATCTGCCCTTCTGTTCATAGAGGGTCAGTGATTTGTTCACAATATATCAGAGTTACTGGAATACACATACAATTCTCTATACAACCACTTGTACCTCTAATTCCTAGATACCTCTTCTATTCATAGGCAGATTGTCTGATTTCTTAACTAGCCAAGCCCATCCATTCAGCTTCTCTTAGAACCATCTTACATGATGTTGCTGTTGACGCTCGGTCTCAGTGCTGTCTCATTACAGTTTGAATTATTTGATCTGACTACTTGAGGATCTAGTTGAGCTTTTGATGACACGTCTCATAATGAAGAGGTGCTTGAAACTCAACCCGCCTCTGAGATGTAATATGCCTAGTGAGCAGAATTCAATCTTTCTATACTTAGTAAATATTACACATCTTCAATATCTGCGTATTTTAAAATCAACTCTTTTAGAGATTCTAGAATTTTTAAATCAGTTAGATATTTTGACATGAAAGAAATTTTTATTTTATTGCTATTATAATCGTTTTACTTCTATATTTATAAAATGAAAAGAAGATATAGATTCAACATTTAAAGTCTTGTTAAAAAAAATTTATTATTATTATTATTATTATTATTATTATTATTATTATTATTATTATTATTATTATTATTATTATTATTATTATTATTATTATTATTATTATTATTATTATTATTATTATTATTATTATTATTATTATTATTATTATTATTAAGTATATGTAGTTAAAGATTATAATATCTATTTAACTAAACTTGAATTCAACTACTTTATAAATCTAATCAATAAATATAACTTAAAATATATAAATATAAAATTCAATCTCAAGATAATATAGTATTTAAAAGATTTTATATAAAATTTTAACTAATTATTATACTTTCTCTTTATATATATTTACAATTTTATTAAATAACTTTTTTAAAAAAAAAATATAAATCAATTTTTTAAAATTTAAATCAATAATATAATTGATCAAAAACTTATAGAATTCAATAAAATATTTAATTTTTTATAACATTTGAACAAAAATTGAAGATGTTATAGCACAACTACTAGTTGTTACAGCGCTGTTGCTAGTAATATAAAATAAGATTAATTCATTCTGATCTCAATCATATTCAGTTGCTTAGATTGATCTGCTTCAATTCTCAACTGTCTATATATATTCAGCTGCTCATTTATTCTTATATTATAATCTCTAGTTTAGTATTCTTATCATAGCTATCTAGTAGATAAATGAATTGAACTTTTG